AGCTCGCGGTATACTGAGACGCCGCAGCTAGAGCGGATCCCGACTTAGATGACGGGATCCGCCCAGCTGCGTGAGTGACAGCTGGCTCTGCCTATCTAGAGGCAGAGCCAGCTGTACCCGCCCCCTCCCCCGTCCGTTCCGCCAGTCAGCGCTGGCAGATCGGAGCGGGGAGAGGGGAATCCAGCCCCTCCCCCTGTCACGGCAGAGAGCCGTGACAGGATCGAGAGGTGAGGGAACCCGGTATGTGTTCCCTCACCTCCCGATCTACTGAGCCGACCTGTGACAGTCTCATTGTCACAGGTCAGCTTAGAACTATGAGGTGAGTGGAAATCACTCATGTCATAGTTCTCCTTTAAGTGGCTGCTCCAAACTTAGGAACAGCTAATAATAACCTTAGAGACTGATCCTGACTTTAGTCGGATTCAGATCTCACTAAAAGCTCTTTGATCGTGCCTAGAGGATCAGAACTGATACATTTCACTCAAAAGATATACATTGTATCTTTTGAGTGAAATGTATCTAAACATCGGGCTCTCGAGCTGTCAAAACAAATAGCAGAGAGGTGAGTCACTGCTACCTCTCTGCTATTTTCAGCTGTCAAATACAGGATCGCAAATTGCGGTCCTGTATTTGCATGTAACGGCTTCATTCTTTCATTAATGAAAGGAAGAAGCTTTTACAAAAAGCTTAATTATTTCATCAATGAATGCCTCAATACTGAGGCATTCATTAATGACGGGTAACTGCTGAGAATCAGCTGTTAACAGCATTACAAAGCCTGATATAACTCGTCACGTACAGTGTACGTGGCTAGTCATATAGGCACTTACATTAGGAAAAAAACTAGAAAAACACTTTTTTCACAAGTTTTGATTATTTTTTAGAATGTTTTAATATTAATTATAGTATAAAAAAGGTTAAGAATGCCAATTTTTTTGTGCCTGGTGTTGTGTCGCTTTTAGATTGAAGATGTACATGAGCTTTTTTCGGTCAGAATTGCACATTTTTGACCTCAATGAGACTACCTAAAAACCATGCGTAATGTGCAATTATGCACCCAACAGTTTCCATAGCTCCATTTCCATTTGGCTAATGCCAAAATGCTCAAGCCTAAAAACACCTAAAAAATGTGACCCAAATGCACAAAAACATGGAAAAAAAGCTTCCAAAATCACCCGAAAATGTTCAGTCTCTAGTGCGAGTGGAAGCTTAGTCTCTATCGCATCAAAGTACAATTTTTCTGATGTATATTTGTCTCCCAAAATTGAAACTCTAATACTGCACAGGCAAACCTGGATTCACTGTTTCTTAGGAATTTGCATGTGCTAGTTCTTTTGATCCATGGCAAATTGCACATAGATCATAGATTGCACTTGCAACAGGAATTTATGATTTGTACAATCTACCATGAACTGGCCAAATTGGCACGTGTATTCAAGTGGTCTGCCTGTGCAATGCCAAATGTACTCATCCGCTTGTTTAACATTTGACAGCTGAATATTTATACTGTATATCAATGCTTAAGACACCATTACTTATCATTTATAGCATGCATGGATTCAAGGCTCACATTTTTTATTTTTTTTTGCTTATAATAATTTTGATTCACATTAGTTATTTATAAAACAAACACATAAGGCCAGGTTCACACTATAGCGGTACAGCACCGTGCGGCAATAGTGCAGGAAACCTCGCAGATGTCTGCAAGGTCACGGAATCGTGCTGGCGGTGCCATTATTTTCTAATGGCACCCCAGTTGCGCCAGGCAGATTGCGCAGTTTCCCACCGCGATACCACCCATGCATTCGAATACAATCATGGCTAAAACAGCCGCGCGATGTATGTCGCATATACCTTTTTTCTGTGATTGCCACGCGGATGTAACCCCATTTAAATCAATTGGTTGTTGTGTGCAACTGTGCAGGGTCCCGGGACGGTTGTGTCCTGGATTGCCCAGGTCGGCACCAGCCTTCACTAGCAGGATGTGCAGTGTAGCAAAATGTGTGCTGCAAAACAGACATAACTATTTCGTTTACTTTACACTTTAAATAGTCTGGGCTTAAATTACTTAAAAGCAAAGTAAAGTCAAACTTTTTTTTTTTTGGATTTACTTCTTTTGAGTAACAAGTGAGAAGATTGTGAGTGGTAATAAAAGTAGTCCATACATAGGACAGTCTTCATCCATTATGCTACATCTGTTATGATGGGTTTCATATTGCATGGTTGCTGGTATGTTTATGATCACTCTGTGTGGCCAGCTTTAGTCATACACAAATTTATATTAAGAAAAGTGTTGGGCACATTAGAGGTCAATTTAGTTTAATAATTTAAAAAAAGCAGTTATACTTATTTCACAATGCATGCCAAAGTTTGCTTAGTAGCACACATTCACTTCCTTGCTTCCTGACACTGAACTCATAAGTTAAATCTTTAAAATGAATTCAAGTACCTTACCTATTAACAATACTGGATCTCATTTGTGTATCACTCAGCTGTAGATTCTCAAATAATCTCTGAATTGGTGCTGACACTGTCCTTCCTTCTGGAGGGTGACTACTTTTGTTCCCCATGTTCCCTGTGTGTGTTGTAAAGTAGCCACCACTCCAAGCTCGCTCCTGTGATGGACAATCTTATGTTTAGTTTACTAATTCGTATTGAGATTGTAGTCCATCATGGGAGTGAGCTTGCAGCGGTGGCTAATTTACAACACACACAGGGACCATGGGAAATAAAAGTAGCCACCCTCCAGAAGGAAGGACAGCGTCAGCACCAATTCAGAGATGATTTGAGGATCCACAGCTGAGTGATACACAAATAACCTACATTTTTGTTAATAGTTGCGGTACTTGAATGCATTTTTAAGGTTTAACTCCTGAGTTTTGTGTCACGTTAAGATTTAACAGATTCATTTTGCATAGTTACAACAAAAGACTTGATGTGTTCCAGTGGGCTTTTAGTAAGAAATTAATTTATAAATAACTTTTGCAGGAGGCAAATTCCCTATGACAAGAGGCGATTCTACCAATTCATCTCCAGAAAAAAGTGCCAAAAGTGAAGTCAAACCAGAGGCCAGCGTACGATCGAAGAGTTCCTCTAGTACACCGACTAGTCCAAAGCCACCTCTTCAGTCATCCAAGCCTTCTCTGACAGTGCGTCCGACTGTGCCTCAGAAGCCCAGAAGCAGTTCCCGCACTGGTAAGCTAGCTGCCTATCTTAAGTGGCAAATTAAATTTTTTGGGGGCTTATTTAAAATGAACCCTGCATTACTGGAGAAGTCTTAATAAATATGAATCCCGATCTTCAGCCATTCTGTTCATTGAAGAGCGTCTGGCTCTTGTGCAAACTATTAAGAAGCATGTGAAAGAGATAGTATGGCAATATTTACTAACAGACAGATGGGGGAAGGGCAATTTGTATGGCGAAAGGATGAGAGTGCCAAGGTCCTCTGGTACCCAAGGCAAAGATGCCAAAGTATTCCCCCTCCCCCAAGTTATTTAATTCAGCATCACCAAAATGCAATGTTAAAACAATTATGTACAAAAAGTAAAAAAAAAAGTGATAAGGGAAGTTCAATCTTTGTTCTAGCACACACTGTACCCAGTCTCACTGCCGCTTACCTTTGCTGGGGGAAGAAAAACAATAAAAGCTTTGTTGTGAAAGAGAAGGAAATAATAAAAGTAATTATGGGTAACTACATTTTTAACGTATTAAATGTTAGGGTAAAAAAAAATTGGGTTTAATTACAAATTTTATTCTGCAATCATGTTTCTTGTACAAAGCATTTTTTTTTAATGTGATGCTTTAAAATTCTAACAAACACAAATGTAAAAAGTTCACATACAAGTGGTAAAAAAAAAAAACTGCTAAGAAGATAGAGGAGTTAATAAAAATGAATTATTGTTGTTTTAAATTTCTTCTGTTTTACATTGATTTTTACCAACAAAAGTTGAATGCATTGATATACATATATTATTAAAAAGATATTATTATACAGTAACTATTTTATACTATGTGTTACCAGTTTTGAATCCTTCCATTTTTCCCACACTTGCTTCTAGTCCTTTTGTATTTAATTGTTCATTTCTTTCACAATAAAATCATCAATCTAGTAATACTGGTGACCAATTCTGCTATTATTATTCAGACAGGTAACAGTAAGGCCCCATTCACACTGCGCGATTTGCAAATCGCGCGTTTGTCGCACGATATCGCGCAAATGCTTGCATTGAAAAGCATTGAATCGCCGCAAATTCCGCTCCAAAAAGGGTCCTGCTGTAGCAACGCACGACCCGCGACAGCAGGACCCTTTGCCCCATTGCCAAGCATTGGAGAGCAATATCGCGCGGTAAATAGCCGCGATATCGCGGGAATTACCGCGCGATAAATCGCTCAGTGTGAATGGGGCCTAAGGTTCACAATGGTTTTTATCTATTCATCATTGCACCACTAGAGGGCACTCTGTTTATTCTATTTTACTTCCATTAATATGGAGTGTATACACATATGTAACCTTGCTACTAAGCAGCTCAAATTGTTACAATACAGCAAGTTTTCCCAGTCAAGTATCTAAAAGTTGCTAATGTTAGGCTTTTCCCTTTGAACATAATTTTAGTAATTTACATAACAGTAATTTATAAATTAAGCTATGATAGTAGCTTTCATTCATAAATGACTGCAGAACAACACTCGAGCTGTAAAACTGGTAGCTCAGTCCTGCAGATTGCACTGGGAGAATGTGGCTCTCCTTATGTAATCATCAGAGGTCTGAGACAGCCGGGCAATGTGGTTTGTCCAAAGCCCTGGACCCAAGCTGTAGGCAATGATCCAGATATGAATTTTTATTTGTCACAAAAAATGGGCCTCTTAGGAGCTGACAATGAATATGTTTCCAGTGTCATACACAAATCTCCCTTTATTGGGGCTACAATATATTGGAGACAAGTTTTATAACGCAGTTGTTTTGGTTGCACAATTGTCAATTTCAATTGGCCAAGTTCCTAAATGCACATCACATGTCCTATGGCCTAGCTCTCCTTCATCCATTCTCTCCCCACAAGCCAACTCTCCCAGGAAGACAGGTTCTCACCTTTCCCCACTGCATCCAATGTATGTAGTTGAGCGTTAACTTTGTGTTTTGTTTGTTTTGCTGGAGTTTTACTTTAACCCCTTCGTGGCTGACTATGTACAGTGTACGTCGCCAGCATCAGGGCTGTTTAAACAGACTCCCGGCGACTTTTGCCGCCGGGACTCTGTTTAAACTTGTAGAGCCGACTGTCGCCAGATCGCTTCTGTGTCCCGAAGAAGGGGCCGCCCCCAGGCCAGTATTTTGGGGTATCTCTAAATTGATGACCCGTTGGGGCTTTTAAAGCGTCTTCTGTGGACTTTTTGGGGTACTGCAGTTTTTTGCTGTTTCACGGACGCATGCAATTTGTATACTGGGCATGTTGGGTATTGTTTTACTCGTTGTAACCTCATCTTTTATATTTAATTTTAAAAATGGGTATTTTAATGTGTTATGGGGCATTTAATTAAATTTATCACTAAATTTTGGGGTTTAATAAGGAGTTGTGCTAATATTGCGCAACATAAAAATTTGCAACTACCACAATTAAAAATCTGATTGAAAAACGAACAGATCGATTTGTGTAGAAATACCTATAAATGTGCTAATGTGGGAAAACAGTACTTCTGGTTATATTTTAAGATACAATGACAACCAATATGACTGTACCTTTAAGAAAGTCTGTATTCTAAGAAGGAACCATAGGGTTTGCTTCTATCAGACTCCGGCATCATTCATAAAATGACCTGTATTTTTGTGTCTCTCATACTAATAGAAGACATCCCTGATTCTCCATCTGGGCCATGTTCCCCCAAAACTACGGTTCTGCCTTCAGCATTGAAGAGAGTCCCGTCTGAAAAGGATCGAGATGGCCAGAGCAGCCCACAGCCATCAACTCGGCCTGTTACAGAGGAAGGTAAGGAGAACTGTGTCTTCAATTTGTTTGACTTTCATTTCATAATCCCCCCTGGAATGTTCAAAGCATTGCATGTTTATTTGAGTTGAAATTTCATATGAAAGCATCATTGACTCCTGTGTCACCCGCAGCTTCAAGCTGACATCAAACAGATGTTAAATATGAATACAGTAATCAATTTAGGGTTCACACAACATCATTCATTTTGTTATGTAGTCTAAAATTCCAGTAGAAAGAGTGAATTTCCTCTTCTCTTTTTTTTGTTTTGTACTTTAAGAATAAATGTTAAGATTATTTAAAGTGCATTCCATGTCAGTGTCATGCTAAAAAGTCCATAGGTCACTATTTCCTCAAATGAAAGTGGGATTCTACACCGTGACCCCCTTCTACCTTTCTGTTTCTGCTACACTCCTATTTTTCTGCAAGTGATGTCTGCTGGACCAAGTTGGATTGGAGAGGGGGTACAGGCCAGAGCATACATCACTAAGTTAAAATGTGGTCATGACAGTGTGTGCCCCTGTAAGCCTACACTATTGTGCCATAATCTACACTTATGAACCAGGCAGCTCATCACCTCTTCTACACTACAGGTACATGCCTAATAATACTTGGGGAGAAGAAATTAGTTGTCATTAGAAGGTTGTGGTAAAGATTATCCAAGCTATTGAAAGACAGGAGAATTTGAAAAGCAGGACACCGGGGCTATTTTATACCCGACATTTCGCTGAAATAAACACTATGCAAACTTAACAATAACAGTGGATTTTATGTCCATTCATCAATATTTGTTTGTAATGTTGCTGCTTGGGGGCTAGCTTTAATCATGGCCACATTTTGAAGTCCAGTGCAATGATGCAGGAGTAGAGTACATGTTGTAATGGATCATTTTCATTTGGTACATAACTGCCTTCTTGTTGTTTTTATAGAAACTATTTAGATATGTGCATGTTAACCCCTTCCCGATCGATGACAGGATTATTCCATCACGATCATTACGTTTATTGACGACCAGTGATGGAATAATCCAGTCATGTGGAACAATGAGCGCTAGTCCAGCACTCACTAAGTTACTGCTGTTGCTGGGTCCCTCGGGGGCCGACGCACACCCTCAACAGCAGATTAGGTGGTCCCAGCGATAGCTAATCGCAGTGATCACAGCGCTGTGACAGCCACTGAGCCGGCTTGCAGCTCACTGTGTTGTGGAGCTGTGAGCCAGCTCAGTGTATTACAAACAGATACAAAGTATTATATTCTCCTCAGAGATACTAAGTATCAAAGCCCCTGTAAGTCAAAAATAAAAAAATATTTAACATTTTTAAAAATTAAAAAGAAAGGAAAAAAGTTTAAAGTCAAAAAGTAAAATAAAAATAATAAAAAAACTGTAAGAAAATATAGTGCCAAGGAGGCTATTAAAGATTGAAACAATGTTAGAATGTGGTATGTTTGTCCCCTAAGTAAAATTGTATTTCACTCCTTGTGACCTATGAAGACAAAAATAATTTATTTATGCATATGTCACATCAAATTAAAGCCCATTTTGTCCTCTAAAAAACAGTATATAATCTGTGTAGGTGGGTGCAATGAATGAGGAAGATGGAAATTACGGTTAAACAAACACATAGCAAAAATTGCAAAATTGCTCCGGTCCCCAGGAACAAAAAACATTTTCAGAAGCTGTCACTAAGGGGTTAATTTTTTTTTTTTTTCTAGGAATTATTACTTTATTTTTATGCATTATGTTAGATACATTTTGAACATATAGCAAAATGTTTCTTTGAAATTAATCTGCTTAGGCACAAGGTGGTTCAATAACAGTGTGCTGCCCACATTAAATACCTGCATGAGTTTCAGGTATTTCTCCATTGTGATTAAAAATACAAGCGCAGAGGGTGCCATTGACCAGTGTGATTTGCCAGTTGACATGAAAACTCCACACAACTGTTCAGCTGCTAAAACTAACAGGTCTATTCACAAAAGGGTGAAGAGTTTGGAGAAGGCAGGAGAAGTGAACAATTTAGGACAACATAGCTGAACTGGAAAGTGAGCGGAATTGGAGAATTTTTCCAAATCAGCCAATTTGGCCTATATTGTTCTCTTCTTCTGCCTTCTCCAAACTCTTCACCCTTTTCTGAATAACCCTGTAAGATTTTTAGCAGAATTAGGCTGTTCAAGTTAGAACAGGTAAGCATATTCATTAGAAAATCTTTTCATTTGCTTAAAAATAACTGAATCCAGAACATGGAGAAACGGAAACTGTGAAAAAGGCAATGGGCTGCTGTAATCTGTAATGGATCAGGGTTTGCAAACTGGTTGAAATCAAGACATTGTAAAGGATGGGAGCTTCTGTGTATGACTAAATGTAGAAAAGGTCTATCATTATTATAGCGCCAACAGTTTGCGCAGCGCTTTACAATATAAGGAAGACATTACAATCACAATACAATTCAAGACAAGATGGTAAGAAGGGCCTTGCCTTGAGAGCTTACAATCTAAAAGGGTGGGCAAAGTGATACATGAGGAGGTAGCTGTGTGGGAATTAATTGTTTGAGAACGTGATGGTTGAGCGGTTAGGTTGGGATAGGCTTCCCTGAAGAGATCAGTCTTTAGGGAATGCCTAAAGGCAGTCAAGGTGGGAGACACAGGTTGGGGTAAAGCGCTCTAGAGTCTCTCCCATCCTCTGGAAAAGTCCTGGAGGCGAGCATGGGAGGAGTTGACAAGGGAGCTGGAGAGTAGGAGGTCTTGGAATGAGCGGAGCGGACGGTTAGGGTGATAATTTGAGACAAGGTTTGAGATATAGCCGGGGGCAGAGTTGTGAATGGCTTTGTAAGTGATTGTTAATATTTTGAATTTTATCCTTTTGGCGAGTGGAGAGTTTGTTTTTTTTAACAGGTCGAGTGGAGAGTTTAATGTGTCCCTGAATATTTAATTCAGATTTGTGCCGGCAGGAGTATAGCACTGTGGCCATATTAAATTCCGGCCTTGTTTGAAGAGGAGTCTAAAGTGTTCAGCTGCCCACCAAAAGATTGATGTTTTTTTATGCTGTTTGCATCAACATATAGTCTGTTATCCTGGGATTAATGCACATGTCTACTATGATGCTCTTTTGCATTGTTCTTATCATAAAGGAACAGTAACCAACTGGATGAAAAACCTTAAACTAGCCAAATGCCCCTTGCATGGGCATATAGCACACTCCCATAAGCATACCATGGGGTGTATTTATAAAAAATGCCGAGCCATTCATTCTGTGAAGTTTGATGTGCATCTGTTCTTTGTAAATGGGAGAAAAATATTGTTGTTAGTATATTTTTCTTTCCAAATTGATTTAATATCTGGAAAATGACATTTTGGCCATTAGATAGAGCAGAGCGCATGGGATAGAAATACTTCTTTTTAAGGTTAAACTCCAGAGACTTGTGTCTACCTAACTATGCTCCTCAGCTCCATCTAGTGGAGATGACACTGCATTTGTCATGTAAACTACAGAGTTCAGGTTGCTTGTGCTACGTCTGATGTAGTGTTATTTAATAAGCTATAATTAATTTGACCTTTTTATTTGAATCACTTCTAGTAAGAAAATATGTTTCTTTTTCTTTTCATTAGCACGGCCAGTGACTCCATCTGACTTATCACCAAAAAGAAATCATGGCCAGATTGTCGCTGAAGGGCAGGAGCGAAAATCAAGGTCGTCTAGCAAAGACTCTCACCAGCAAAGCAAGTCCAGTGACTCTGGGGAGGAGGTTGAAAAGGAGTTTGTTTTTATTTGAACATCTGTCTGCAACACTGCCATTCAGCCCTCCTGATATTTTTACTCTTTGTTTCAATGTTGATTTACTATCATTTGATTTATGCACCTTGTTTGTATGTCCTGGAATTTCAAGTGTAGCTGTTGTAGGTTCCCCACACTCCAAAGAGCAGTGGTACACAACTTCGATGTGCTTATTTACTAAGGTAGTGCAGAGAATAATCACAGCTCCTCTTGAACTAATCTGACTACCGAGGTCTGGTTGTCTCATAAAGATTTCTGTAATAATCTAATATTGCTCTTTGCACTGCTTTTTTGAGTAAGCTCTTAATTGTCTAGCAAGTTACTCATTTTTAGGGGTGTGCATGGGCTTGGTGTAAACTGAGTTGTCCTAAGCCTGCACCAAACTGTCAGTGACACCCCCACCCTTTCCTCCTGGCTCAGTCAGCTGCAGCCGGGGCATTCCCCACCCCTTTGTTTTGTGTAGCTGTGGGGCGGGGAAGCCGATTGGGAGAGGGTGTGTCACTGACAGTTTAGCTTGAACTTGGGTGAACTCGGTTGGCACCAAGCCCATGCACATCCCCACTTATTTCATGTTCTTGTACAAAACAGTAGCAGATGTCAAGTCTCTTCTGTCTCTCTATGAAAGCAATTGCACATTGTAATTATCAGAGCACACTAATGATTATTTGTATAAATGGTAAATATATATATATAAACAAAAATCTCTTTACCTGCATATATATATATATATATATGATGATTGGAAAATGTTTTTACATCCTCTGGTAGGAATCTTTTCTCCTTCCTGTGCTTGTACATACAAATATCTATTCATGCACTTATTAATAAGCACAAGCATGGACCCACTTCTTGTACACAATGAACGAAGATATACGCTAATGTAATAACAGCAGAACTATTTACATGGAATCTGGTTGTTATTTGGTTTGATTATGGGAGATTACACGCCGTCCTGCATTTTGACATATACCTTTTGCTTCTCTTATGCCATTTTTGAAAAGAAAATTACTAACTGCTGTAAATAAAGACAAAAAAAAAAGTTTTTTGACAATACAGTAACATAGATATTCACTTATACTACAGGTTACAGGGGTTTATTCATATGTATATTTGTATCAATAAAACAATTTTACAACTTTAGCCTGGTACTGTATTTCTTATTTGTACCAATGTTTGCTTTTTTATTGTTACAATTATTATTATTATTATCCTGCACTCTGTGTAGAACCATACCTAAATATGTCCCTTCTTAAATTAGGTGCTGGCCCTAGAGAATTTTACAGGATCATAGGACCATTCTTTTGATCCCAAGGCCGTTTGTTTGCTTTCCTAATATACATTAATTTGTTCCATTGAAAGTTACAAATCACTTGTGCACAAGTAAGGTGGTGACTGCAGAGAGTTTCCTTATCGTAGTAGATGTTCTACTACAGATCTACACTCACCGGCCACTTTATTAGGTACACCTTGCTAGTACTGGGTTCGACCCCTTTTTGCCTTCAGAACTGCCTTAATTCTTTATGGCATTGATTCAACTAGGTGTTGGAAACGTTCCTCAGAGATTTTGGTCCATATTGACGTGATAGCATCACGGGCCCAAAGTGTGTCAAGAAAATATCCCCCACACCATTACACCACCACCACCAGCCTGAACCATTGATACAAGGCATAATGGATCCATTCTTTTATGTTGTTTATATCAAATTCTGACCCTACCATCTGGATGTCGCAGCTGAAATCAAGACTCATCAGACCAGGCAACGTTTTTTCCAATCTTCTATTGTCCAATTTTGGTGAGCCTGTGCGAATTGTAGCCTCCATTTCCTTTTCTGAGCTGACAGGAGTGGCACCTGGTGTGGTCTTCTGCTGCTGTAGCCCATCTGATTCAAGGTTCGACGTGTTGTGCATTCAGATATGGTATTCTGCAAACCTTGGCTGTAATGAGTGAGTATTTGAGCTATTGTTGCCTTTCTATCATCTTAAATCAGTCTGCTCATTCTCCTCTGACACCAATAAGGCATTTTCGTCCACACAACTGCCGCTCACTGGATATTTACTCTTTTTCTGACTATTCTCTGAACACTAGAGATAGTTGTGTGTGAAAATCCCAGTAGATCAGCATTTGCTGAAATACTCAGACCAGCCCGTCTCGCACCAACAACCATGCCATGTTCCAAGTCACTTAAATCCCTTTTCTTCCCCATTCTGATGTTCAGTTTGAACTTCAGCAAGTCGCCTTCACCACGTCTAGATGCCTAAATACATTGAGTTGCTGCCATGGGATTGGCTGATTAGCAATTTGTGTTACCAAGCAATTGAACAGGTGTACCTAATAAAGAGGCTGATGAGTGTAGATTGATGCTGCTTGGACAGATCTGCCTTAAAGTACAACTGAAGCCAAAACTTTTTTTTTTCCATTTTGAATAGAGTAAAGGAGGGTTACAACCCCCTTTTTTGTTGTCATCCCTGCCTCATTGGAAAGATTTCCCTTCACTTCCTGTTCAATAGCCACAAAAGGAAGTGCAGGGAAAAAAACCTCCAAATAGAGGGAAACCCCAGGTGGTCAGCAGGGTCACCAGAACTAAAGTCCCCATTGGAAGAGTTTCCCATTTATTCCTGCTCTGACAACCCAAAATTTAGGATTTTCTTCCACTTTCAGTGATAACAAGTCACCAGGACAAATTGGGAGGGTGAATCTTCCGAGCAGGGACACAGACCACAATAAAAACCTGACAAGTATTTTCATCCCCTTTCACTCTATCCAAAATGCTAAAAAAATGTTTTAACTTGAGTTGCCCTTTCACATTGATCTTCCTTTTACCATCAGGCTCTGTTTTTCAGATAGGGAGATTGCATTATGCAGAGTCGGGTGACAAGAGACAGTGGATTCATCTTGAACACTGTTGAATCTGATTGCTCTAGATTTTTAAATGTTGTCAACAGTGAATTGGATTGCTCCAGATTTTGTAAATGTCTCAAATTGTAACTTAGGGGACATTCTGACTTTGACACCATGCATGACCAAGCGTTCACCTCTGTTTGAGGGGCTGCGCTTTCTGAATATCAAATCCAGGGTGTCTTTTATGTCTACTCTGGTTGGCAGGCAGCAGTATAGGATAGTTTGCAGTTTGATTGCTGTAAACATCCATTTTAGTGGATTCAGCAACCAGTGTGCACTGCCAGCTATAGTTAGGATTGACAAAAATTACTTCTGACCTTGCATTATAGTGTACCTAAACCTAAAAACAAAAATGTAATATAGTGCCGTTCACATCTTTAGATGGAGTTCTTTTTTGGCTTCTTTTCTTTTAAATAAAATAACAGTCTCAAAATAAATTTTCTGTTCTCTCCTCCGCTGTATCTATGGAGGGAGATATGGTTGCCATCCAGGCTGGACTTCAAACATGTCAACCTTTGTTTATCTCCATTACATGGAGCGGAGATTAAAAGTTTACACAAGAAAGGTAACATTGTTTAGCTTTCAGTTCATCTCACAAGTGGCAAGCACACTGCATTTCTGGCAAGTATTTTCTGAATATCTTGCTGAAAACATTAACCTGGACAATGCAAACGAATGCAGCCATAATCCAACAAAAGGTAAGCTGCAATATATCACATATTTCTTCTTGGGTGTACTTCTTGTACCGTATATACTCGAGTATAAGCCGTCCCGAATATAAGCCGAGGGTGGGAAATGAGGCAGCTACTGGTAGATAGATACCATTAAAATACATTAATATTTATTTAAAAGAAAAATAACCTAGCTCTGTAAGTGGAAAAGGGGGTACAGGGCTACATATCATGTACTACGGATCATTTAACCCATTCATATTAGCAGAGGATAATTGTAAATCTATTGTTCAGTGCACTCTATATGTAGTATATAGTACATGTACATATAGAGTGCCTGCAACAATACATTTACAATGATCCTCTGCTAACATGAATGGGTTAAATGATCCGTAGTACATGATATGTAGCCCTGTACCCCCTTTTCCACTTACAGAGCTAGGTTATTTTTCTTTTAAATAAATATTAATGTATTTTAATGGTATCTATCTACCAGTAGCTGCCTCATTTCCCACCCTCGGCTTATATTCGGGTCAATACTTTTTGCCAGTTTTTTTGGCTAAAATTAGGTACCTCGGCTTATATTCGGGTCAATACTTTTTGCCAGTTTTTTTGGCTAAAATTAGGTACCTCGGCTTATATTCGGGTCAATACTTTTTGCCAGTTTTTTTGGCTAAAATTAGGTACCTCGGCTTATATTCGGGTCAATACTTTTTGCCAGTTTTTTTGGCTAAAATTAGGTACCTCGGCTTATATTCGGGTCAATACTTTTTGCCAGTTTTTTTGGCTAAAATTAGGTACCTCGGCTTATATTCGGGTCAATACTTTTTGCCAGTTTTTTTGGCTAAAATTAGGTACCTCGGCTTATATTCGGGTCAATACTTTTTGCCAGTTTTTTTGGCTAAAATTAGGTACCTCGGCTTATATTCGGGTCAATACTTTTTGCCAGTTTTTTTGGCTAAAATTAGGTACCTCGGCTTATATTCGGGACGGCTTATACTCGAGTATATACGGTAATTTAAAGAAGGCTTGCTTATGATATGTGGTAAAGGCAGACGCCTCGGACGGGTGTCTGTTTACATCCAATTACCCCCAATCTCGGCCAGATCCAGAAAACTAAACGGAACATATCCGTTTACATCCAACTCCCCAGAATCCTAACATCACTCTGGTAAGTTCAGTTTAGTCCTCCATTGCAAGATGGAGAAAAAGACTGGACAGACACGGATGTTACAACAGTTACATCCATTCCAACCGGCTCCGATCAGCGGACAGGCACCAGTGTGAAAGGTGCCTTAAGAGTACAATGTTTAATATTTCTTATTGCAAGGAGTTGCTCTTTAAATAAACAGATAGTACTAAGCAACAATCTTTCTCTGTAAAGATCAGCTTTTGTTTGCCATGGATAAAGCAGCTACCAAATAGCCAACCGGTGTTTTTGTAATTCCAATGTTGGATTAATACTTGTTCTTTGCAACAGAGCAGAATCATACTGTGCAACATCCATTTACTTTCCTATGATCCGTAATTAAGAAGTCACAAGAAATTTCCGGCTCGGCAAAGCAAACAAGTCCTAGTGAGACACAGAATAAACAGGAGTGCTACACTGTGTCTCCTGATGCCTGGTCAGAAAAGAG